AGGGGTGGGGCAGCACCCCGGTACAGGACACCCCCAGACCCAAACCTCCAGGCACAAAGGAGAATTTTTACCCCAGAAGAGCAAGCAAGGTTTGGGGTGGCTGCCTCTGGACGGGGCAAAGGCAGACAGCAAGGCAGCAGCAACAACAGGTGTTTTTGTTGTTGCTGCTGCTGTTGTTTTGTTTTGTTTTTTGAGTTTTTGAGTGGGGTTCTAGAGAAAGATGGGGGAGTCTGTGCTAGCGTGGGTTGGTAAATCCTCATTAGACAGGTTAGCCAGTGTAGCCAAATAGTGAATTTTGATGGCTGAACCTTCAGGCTTTGTCTCAGGAATGAATCGGGGTGGAATAAAGGAGTGGCCCTTGGGGCGGGCTTTAGGACTGTAACATAATGGCTTTAGCAAGGGATGGAGAAGGGAAAAGGACAAAACCAGTTGGCGCCATGCTTGCCACGCTCGCGCCTGCTGGAGCCCTTCACAGGCCCCACGCCTGGCTGTTTCTTTACCCCTCCCCGGAAGTCTTCTGTCCGGACCCTGGTGCCTGACAAGGGAGGGGAAGCAATGTCCCCTCCCCCCAATTTCTCCGTGACACCTGCGCTCAGCCAACAGCACACGAGGAGGGAAGGACAGGCAAATGGTGGTACAGAGTGAGTTTGTGGCCTCTAGGAGGGGACATCAGCGCACAGCGAGGAGACCAGGAAGTGTTGGTCTCTGGCCGCCCATGAGGAGGCTGGGATGTGGACCTGTGAGGGTTAGGCATATGTGCCACAGGAGTGTGGGTAATGAAATCACCACAGCAGAGGAGACAGGGTGTCTGATAGAAAGGGTTAGTCACTTAATGAACGAGCAGCCACGGGGGGGAGGGAAGGAAGAGCTACGTGGGCGCCCGGGGCGACGGCAGGGACCGAGAAAGGACAGAATTCAGGTGCCCTGGGAGGGTGTGACTCATTCCAGAGGAGTAAGAGAGGTTAAGATGAGGTCAGGTTGCCAGGTCTGGGGCCGGTACACCTAGAATTGGTGGGCGACAGTGGGCAGGGGCTCTGGCCACCTTTGCTGAGTGTGTGTGTGGGTCTTCAGAGCCACTTAGTCACAATGGGCCTTGCAGGAGGATGACAACGCAGTAGAGACCCGCTGGGTACAGGTGGCTGTGTGAAGGCTGTAGGGGGACTTGCAGACAGGCTCTGGACACCTTCATGGACACCTGAAGGTAGCACGGGGCCTCATGGGACTGTGTCTGAGTGTAAGATCCCTGTGGCTGTGCTGCTGCTTCCCTGAGATTCTACTCCCGCACTCAACGGCAGCTTGTGCTAAAAGAACCTTACAGGACTCTGTGGCTTGCGGGGCGCCCAGGTGCTAGGAGGGAGCCGCTAGGCGGCTGACTCAGGAAACACTGGCTGGGAGGAAGGTGAGGGGCTGGGAGGAAGGCGGAAGGAGCCAATTGGGCTGCACGTGAAGGATAAGCATCTTTGTCTGAAGGCCAGTCCGTCTGTGAGCTGGCTCTCCTTTCTCCATTCAGGCAGGGCCTCGGAGTTATTCCATACAGCAGCCAGCAGCGAGCAGATGGGCTGTGAGTCCCTTCACGGCAGGAGATTGGAGAAACAGTATGGGGCTTATTGTGCTTTCTTTGCTCAGTCTCTGGAACAGTGGGAACATCTTTTGGGATGAGGGGCCATCTGCTTCCGTCTCCGAACTGCTACAGTGTGCAGAAGCCACTGTTGACCTGTGATGGACACAAAACCCAAGTGAGAAGTCAGTTTTGTCCCTAGCGCCTCCCCCCCCCTTTGTGGGGATGCTTGTCACAGCAGCATAACGGGGCCCATCCCGCCGCTCGACACTTGGTCTCGTCGAGTTCTGGCACAGTGCTGTGAGAGCAGCAGTTTGTAACCCTTATTTCACAAAAGGAGAAAGTGGGTTTCAGGGAGGTGAGCAAGGTAACTATGCTCACACCACGGAGAGGGTCGGGAGCTGAAGGCACGTCTGACTCGACAGACTAGAGTGGGGCCAGGCGGAGGTGGCGCACGCCTTTAATCCCAGCACTCGGGAGGCAGAGGCAGGCAGATCTCTGTGAGTTCGAGGCCAGCCTGGTCTACAGAGCGAGTGCCAGGACAGCCTCCAAAACAATACAGAGAAACCCTGTCTCAAAAAAAAAAAAAAAAGGCTAGAGTGGGGATTGCAGTTAATCATGTTGGCATTTGCTGCTCCCAGGAAACTGACGTGGCCGGGAAATGTTTCTGGTTGAGAGACAGGAAGGGGATTAAAACTCCACACAGCACACTCATCCTTTTGTAGAAATACCCGGGGTTTCAAGTGTGGCGATGCCGGAGTCGGTGCTTGAGGGGCCGAAATGGCCTCTCCGTTTAAACTGGGATTATTCCAGTGACTTGGAGATCACTACGCCCCAGTTCCTGCAAGCCCAGCCTGGGGATTGGGATGTGTGTGGCGGTGGGACTGAGGACTTGTGGGCGCAGAGGCCTTTGATCTCTTCCTGCACAGGTTTCCTCAGTTGCTCCGCCTACATGCTGGTGCTGCTGAGAAGGGGCAAGTGGCTTGTGTTCCCCGGGGCAGGTGTGCATTTCCTGCCCCCAGAGTATCACAGGGCACCCCCTCTATTGCCCCATAGTGCAGCTGCCTGCCTGTGTCTCTCTCCCTGCACAAGGTGGCCTCACCTCAGAGCCCCAAGCTCTCTCTGTGCCTGCGCATGGCAGGTGCTCTGCAGACAGATGGGGAAGAGAGGGGAATGCAGGTGACACAGGTGCACACTCCTCCCCACTTGTGAGCCAGGTACACACACACACACATACACACACACATACACACACACACACACACCCCGGACAGGCCCACTTGCACGTGTCAAAGACATGTGCACATGGAGTAAGACACACAGGTGAATGCACACGTACACGTCACCGTTTGCTCCTAGGGTACATGCTGGGGCATGTGCATGCGTGTGCGTGCGCGTACACACACGTGTGTGGACATGTACTCACTGGAATGTGCTTCTAGGTCACACACACACACTTACACATGCACACACATGCACACACATGGGGACACACACGTGTAGGCACATGCCCACGCACACATACATGCACACAGCAGCATATGCTTCCAGGATGCACATGCACACACCTGTTCAAACAGGCACACTTGTGCATGCACATGTACATGTATGCAGATGCATTTGTGGTTGTTGGGAAGGAAGGCTGGCCCTTGGGAGGAAATTTTTTCCCTGGGCCACGAGGCCTTCATATCTCTTCTCTGTCCTTACCACAGACTGGCTGGGGAGGACCATTCTTGCACAGTCCTGGGCTTTATTGAACCCTCCATTCATATTTTATAGAACAGCGCTTACTTTCCTGGTGGTTTTAATTTAGCTGTCAAATGCCAGGATCTGAGGCAGGAGGAAAGCTCGAGGGTTGCTGAGTTTGGCTGACCCTTCAGTGGACCTCCACGCTCCGGCCAAGATCTGCTGATCCCAGTGTGCCTTCAACGCTAAGCACTTTCCTGGCTGCTTCATGCTTGTAGGGGAGGGGAGCCGCCTGACGTGGAACGACGCTGTGATTAACTCTTTCCCATTGGAAATATCACCCTGCTCAGGACTGGGCCGTAGGCAACCCCTTCACTCACAATGGCAAGTCCCTGGTAGGAAGATTTAAGAGGGTGAAGGACCAGAGCTTGGCGCTGGATAGTATCTGGGAGAGGGAGGTACCTCTAGCTCCCAGAAGATGCCTCTAGCCTCCTGGTTGTGGTGTCTCTTGTACGACAGGCCCCTCGTCTTGCCGTAGGCAATGCTGGATGCTAAGGTGAGTCAGCCTTGGTCAGTCATGGTCGTCACTGCAGCATGGCTGAGCAGGGGGCTGACTGATGAATGGCCGAGGGGCCTCCCTGCTGAAGGTCCCTGGGACAGCTGTTCTCTGTCTTCCTCTTTGATATGGCCCAGCTTGTGTCTCTGACCCTGGCTGGGCCACAGAGAAAATCAGTGGACACAGTAACAGGGGGAAGGTGGCAGAGGCCACTCCTGTGCAAGGCAATTATCCCCAGGTGTCTCAGGCCGTCTTATAATAGCAGCATTATTTATTAATGTGTTAATCAATGCTATCTCCCTGGGTAATTGCCTGGTCAGAGGGACCGCGTGTACTTCCTAACAAGCAGCCATTAGATGCTCTAGGGGTTGGCTGCCATTTCTTCCACATCCACGGCCTGCAGCCCTGGCATGCTCTTGATCAGGATGGCCAGGGTTCAGGCTGGAGGTCAGAGGTGGGAGGGTTCCCAGCAAGGGCAGCACGGGCTGCGTCTCCTTAGAAAGAGTAACAGCTGCCCTCTTTACCGTGGCCACTGCAGGCATCATCTCCACACCACATGCTCCTCTAAGCGTAACCCTCGTGCTTCCTGGCAGTTGAACAGAGTCTTGGCACATGCTGTCTGGGGTTGGGCCACCTGATGCGAGCAAGCGCTTACTTCGTTTCTGTCCTAGTTCCTCGTCTGGCGGAGGAGGCTGAGCCGGCTGGCTGTCACCTTGTGAAGACAAGGCTGCCCACTCAACACGTGGAGCACCGAGACCAGGCCGAGGCCCAGAACACTGGTGTCCCATTCTCCAGACGGGTAGGACAAGGCACGTTGAGGTTAGGGGACTCGCCTGAGGTTATCTGGCTCGACACTGGTGATAGCTGGCAAGGAAGCTAAGTCCTGGATCCCAGAGATGCTCACCCGCCTATCACACCCCAGTGCTTCAGAATGCTCAGTGATATCACTGAGGAAGCATGATGCCTGTGGTGTCTGCTAAGGAGCCTCCCGCGGTGCTCCTCAGCCCCGCCCTGGCCTGATGCACCTCCTCCTCTTCTCTGGGTCCCCGCTGTGCCTCAGCGTCCTGTTACCCCACTCTCTCGCCCCACTCCTCAGCTTCTGCCACACTCAGGAAGGCCTTGGAAGGGGCCATAGCAGCCGTGGCTAGAAACACGTGTGTGGGGGAACCAACCGTTGTCATCTGTCTTGGGTCCAGAGAGCCCCCACAGCCACAGGCCAAAGAGGAAGACATGGGTTGAAGAGATGGAGAGGAGTCGGTTCTTTCCTGATATAGTTAAGTCTTCTGTCTCTGCTCGTGTCTAGAAGGTCACACACACAGGTGAGGATGAGTGGGTGGAGTTGCTACCGCGTAATGGGGAGGGGAGACCCAGAAAGAGGACAGGTGGGGGTACTCTGGCTTCCCTGCTCTAATTTCTGTTGCCCCAATCAAACATCCTGAGAGAAGGCAACTTTGAGGGGAAAAAGTTTATTTCAGCTCACACGCCCAGGTTGTAGCCTATCATTTTGGGGGAGGTTAGGGCGACTGGCGCTCGAGACTGCTGCTCACATCACATGCTCGCTCGCTTGTACTCAGGTCAGGTAATGCCTAGGGAATGGTGCCACCCACGGTGGGCTGGACCGTCGCCATATAAGCTAACCTAATTAAAGCAATCACCCTACAAGCACTCCCACAGGCCAGCTTGGTCTCGATAATCCTTCATATAGACTCTCTCCCCAGTGACTTCTAGAGTATGTCAAGCAGACAGTTAAGGCTTAACCGTCTCAGTGGCCAAACAGAAAATATCTGGGCTTCCTGTCAACACCAGATCATTAGAAAGTCTGGCAGATACAGCCAGGGCCGTGTGTGTCCATGGGCCTGTGTTATCACGAAGGCCATGTTGATGTCCATTGTCCCTGTTATCATCAGAAACCATGCGGAAGTCCACAATCTGTGCTGCCACTGACACTGCAGAGGGCCAGGAAGCTTCTTCTGAAGAGGTGTGGGCGGCTGCAGGCTCACCTCGGAGGATGAGTGACGTAGATGGCTTCTGTGACAACCCCTCCCCTCTCCCCACACACACAAAAGAAGGTCTAGACAGGAGGTCGTCGAAGAGAACTCTTACAAATTGTGAGACGGATGCTGAAGGGTAGCGTTCCACAACTGATGCCCTCTGGCAGGGGTGCAGGTGGGGAAGGACTTAGTTTTCTTTAAGGGGCTGGCCACTGGGAGTTTGGCCATGCTCCAGTGAGTGTACAGGCAACACAAACTGAACTTGGAATATATGTTTTCTTTCCTTCTGTTTTTTTTGGGGGGTGCTTCACAAGGGTGGGGGTGATCCTGGGAGGACTGGGAAATGAGTACAAATGGAGTTCACTATGTGAAATTGCCGAGCACTCAATAAAACTCTTATGTTAGAAAAGAAACCGTGGCATTGTAAGTGGGGCGCGGCCCCATCCTCCATACACAGTGTGCTGGGGTGTCCTATCGTGGTCTGGTTTGTGTTAGCCCCGCACTGCAGGGACCGCATATTCCAGATTGTGGGGCTGTGACTGGAACCAGCCGAACAGCCCCGGGTCGGACCCTGAGTGGAAGAGTGTGGGCATGGGAAGGCCTAGCTACCCAATGACATTAAGGACAGGCAGAGACATCTGGTCATAACAGGAGAGCTCCCGGTCAATACTGAAGACCTCGGTTTATTGTTCCAGCGTCTTAAGGAATCATCCAAAGGCAGGGGCGATGGCAGAAGGCATCTGTTATCATGTTTAAAGAGCTGATATCAAAGATTTCCTTTAATCTTAGAGACACTCCTCTACAGCAGGCCTCCGACCCTCCACACCAGAGCATCTCCCTAGCCCTCAGGGTGGGTGTAGGCTCACCCTGGCCCAAGTCCTTTGTTATACAGAATAGGAGCCGTTCCCCCACCGAGGCCAAGCATCTGGCAGTAATCGGATAATATCTAAAAGACAATAGAAGTTCTGAGCTCTTAGAACTGTGGGTGGGTGAGTGGAATATATTTCTGAAATATTATGCGGGCCCTGACAGAGTCCGATGGTGCCCACGGTTGTGTGAACACCTGCATGTCTACCCCGTATGGAATTGTGACGTGACTTTGTCATCCGTGAAGTTTACGTCGGGGAATTGCACAGCTGAGTTTTTATCTCAGCCTCCTTTCCCGTTGCTGTTATCGGATTCTCTGACTAAGGGGACAAAGGCTGACTTCACAGTTTGAGGGCACAGCCCCCCCAGGACAGGGAAGGGCGGTGGAAGGAGTGTGGAGAGGCGGCTGCTCACATCTCATTCCCAGTAAGGAAGTAGAAGGAGATGAGAGCGTGTGCCCAGCTCACTTTATCCTGTTTATTCCGGTTCAGGACCCCAGCCCTTGGGATGGTGGCACCCCCTAACCCAATCTAGACATTCCTTTACTGGCACGCCTGGTGCTTAACCAAGAGAAGTTGCAGAAACCAGAGAAGTGCATTCATTTTGTGCATGTGTGCGGGTGTGTGTTGGGCTGCATTCACAGCTGCCGACACTCTGATCAGCAAGACGCAGGCAGATTCCCTGACGCCCCAAGAAGTGAAGTCACCGCCAGCAGCTTATGCCAGGCTGCTGTAGCTTGGTCTCTAGGCTCACACCTTCATGTGCCCGCTTGCCCAAGAAGCGGCCCGCTGGCTCCCAGCAGCGACTCTTGCCTTTTGTGTGGCTATCAGGGTGCAGGGCTGCAGTTAATAGAGAACAGGGCAGAAGCAAGAACACCAGGAGAGGAGCTCGCTTCCCTGTAGGGAGCAGACTACAGCCACTGGGGAACCTCTGGGGTGTATGTACTTGACCCATGGATTCTCCCCCCCCCCTTCTCCATCCCTCCCTACCTCCATCCTGTGCAAAAGCCGGCTTACAAATTCCTCCCTCACTACCAGGAAGGCATCAGTAAACTTTGCCTAGAGGATAAGGGACGGCTTCCAGCTCCTTGATATTTACCAAGTGGAACATCCCTAATACCAAACCCAAACACCCAGCAATTAGATTTTCAACCGTCCTTTGAGCCTCCATCAATGTTAGGATGGAGCCGGCACACCCGAGATCAAGAGACTGTCATCCCCATTCATCCTTCTGTTCCTCCAACTGCCTGCAGATGTGCTGGGGGAGCCCCTTGGTCCTCATGCCCTTGGCCCCTTCATCCCGTTTCCTAGCAACGCTCCCAGCCGCCTCCATCCACAGTATACCCAGGTGGCTTCTCAGTGTTTATCTTGGCCGAAGGGGAGCCAGCACTGTCCAGACCCTAAACAGACCAGGCTGTGATGAGCTGTAGGGACCTGAGGACCAGAGCCCATTGTCCCCATCCTGTGGCCTGGGTGTATTCCAAAGCCAGCTGGGAACAGGGCGTTCAGTTAATTATCCTCTTATCTCCCAGGCTGAGGCTGCATTAATCATCTTCTCAGACCTCGCTGGGCGTCAGTTCCTTCTAGCCTGTGCCTCTGCAGGAGCTGGACTCAGAGGCGTGGGTGCTGGGGCGTGGACACTCAGCCATCCCTGCTCTCAGCAGACTGCCCTCCAGGCACAGAGTCAGGGCTGGGCCGTTGACTGGCTGGGAGCTCTAGGGCACAGACCCGACCCTTCTCTCTTCTTAGCCTTTCCCTTTGCACAGTGTAGGAACTTCCGAGCCTGTCACTCAAGGTTGCTGTGCGGAGGCTGGTGATGTCCCCCGGGGAAGGGCTGCTCCCCTTGCCCAGTCGTGGTGATGGACAGCTCTCCCTGGTCCAAAGTGCATGATGGATGCTGCAGTGTAGGTGCGGTCACCCCTGTACAGAAGGGCAGAGGCCAGGACTCCCTGGGAAGGGAGGGGGCTGTCGGCTGCAGCCATCTATGATGTCTAGGGCCAGAATGCCCTGACTGTTACTTCTACCCATCTGTTTAATTGCTGGGTGACCTGGGCGAGGGAATGACCGTACCTCTTTGAACTTGCTCCCCTCCGTGTGTTGCAGAAAGGGCAATCTCTTCTTTGGGACTGTTGCCACTCAAGGGCAAGGGTGTCCGAGGGTCCCTGTCACTGTGTCAGGCTCCCTCACGGATGGCTCACAGTCCCAGGCTACATGTTGGCTTCCTCTGAACAACAGCCCTGATGCCTACTTTCATATCCGCCAGCCTGCTTGGAAGAACCCCATCTCTACCTTAGGGGAACCAGTGGGGAAGCAAAGTCTCACAGGAAGTTGCCTACGATGACATGTACCCTTAACTGGAATTCCACATCTCTGTATACAGCCTGGTCTCTGTCCCACTCTACCTAGAAAAGTCTCTTTCCAAAGTCATGAGAGCAATGTCCCTCTGGGACCATTCTCAAACTAGGTCAGGGCAGGGAGCCGAGGGGCTGTCGGGCCACGTGTGGGGGCTGAAGACATGCTCTGCTGTCACAACCCTGGGCTGTTATGTCACTGTCCCCAACTGTCTTTAGTGAAGAGGAACAGCCATCAGAGAGTGGCCACCCTCTGCTGGAAAGGGGCAGAGGGTTCTGAACTGTGTGGTCTGGTGGACTCCAAGGTTAGAGCAGTCCCGGGAATGTCCTGGGCCCTGGCTTTCCCTGCAGCTGGCCACTCCCTGAGGGAAGAGACGTATCCTCTTTGCCGTCCTTCATTCCAAAGCTGGTATCGGATCCCGGAGCGGCGCTGGGCAGAGAGCCCCGTGCCTCTGGCTCACGCTGCCCCTGCTCCCTCCCCCCTGAGCTCTGTTTTGTGCCATAGAGTCAAGCAGGCTTGACTCTCCTCTGCTGCACCGGCTTTGACTCTCCGTTGGAGGTGGATGCAGTGTGTGGCGGCAGCCCCAGACTGGCCACAGCCACTGATGGGAAAGGTGACCCTGAGGCGTCCCTGCTACCCAGTCTTCCTCCAGGCTGAGTTGGCTGCTAGATTAATGTGTGGACAGAGAGCTTGACGGCCATCACTCATTCTGCAAGCCACTTCCTCTAGTCGCAGGCGGGGTCCTGTCTTGGGCTTAAACCTCAGGCTCATCGGGTAACTGGAATCCTGCTCATCTGAGCCTCAAATGGATACATCTCTGCCTGGAGTTGAGGGCATCTGATCATCTTTCCTCCCCCTCCCCAGACGGATCCCACTCAGCGGCCAAGCTGGCAGCCACACCAGGGTTAATTACCCGGTTCCCCAGCCATGGAGATGGTTTTTCTCTTTCTCACTGCCTGGATGCCCGAGGGCTTATTGATTATCCGATTCACATCTCCAGAGATGGAGTTTCAGCCTGGAATGAGATGAGGTGGTTCCATGAGGCTCCCTGCAGCCTGCACCCATCAGAGCAGCCCCGTAAGAGTGGTGGCCTCAGTCAGGACACAGTGAGATCTCTTGCCCATGACATGCGGTGGGGGTGCTGTGCAGGAAGGCTTGGTGGATCCTGGGCTCTGCAAGTTTCTCTCGATCTCCCTGAGGTGCTAGGGCCTCTCTAGCTGCAGTGTGGGGTGATGGGATTGTCTGTGCCATTAGAGATAGTACTCTAGGGGGGACATGCTTCTACTCTGCGCAGGGGAGGATGGACGTCACCCTACTCTACAGATGAAGAAACTAAAGTTCTGAGGGATTCCTGCAGGCAGAGAGAGGGTGAGGTGGAACTAACTTTGGGGTGGTGGGGAATTGAAGGACTTCATACTTGCCTGGCTGGTAGCGTTGCCTCTACTAAATGATCAAGGACAGAGAGCTGGGCCCAGTCCAGAAGGTCCTTGAAGCTCACTTGTGGGTTTTGTTTTTTTGTTTGTTTTTTGTATTCCAAGACTGAAAGGCAAGGCCAGGTCTTATCCGAGGATTCCAGGACTCTGGGCATTGTTGGGGATGTGACTCTAGGTGATTCTTTGGTAATACTGGTTAAGTTAGGGCTGGTGTTTATCTTGCTCTCCTTGCCTTATGGATGAGGTTCCTACATGGCTCCTTGCTGACTAATGGATAGAGTGCGAGGAATCTGGGTGAACATTTGTTCCCTTTCCAAGGGAGGGCCCTAGTGATGTTCCCAGGACTCTCTGCCTTCAGTCCCCCTAAGAGAATAATATTTTTTTGTTAGTGGCTTGCTTATAGACATAGGCTCAAGTGAAAAGAAGATGTGTTCATTTTCTTTTATGTGTGTGGTTATTGCTCCTGCTTGTGTGTCTGTGTGCCGTGTGTGCTGTTGCCACAGACGCCAAAAGAAGCGTCAGGTCCCCAGGAACTGGAGTTACAGATGGTCGCAAGTCACCATGGTGCCAGGAACCAAATCTGGGTCCTTGGAAGAGCAGCCAGTGCTCTTAACCCCTGACTCACGTGTCCAGCCCCAGATCCAGACTGTTTCACACCAACATCAGTGACATCCCTGAGGGCCAGCTGTCCCCAGCCCTGTTTTAAATTGTCTTCTGTACTCCCGGACCTGATGGGGGAGCCACAGAGAGAACCCG